TTGTCGGCGATTTTGTCAAAGGGAATATTGATAAAATGTTGCAAAACAGAATCGCGAGTTGGGTGAAAAATTGCGCCGGCGGCATTCTCAGCGATGGCGACACCCGAGAAACACCGTGTCACGGTGCATTCGTGCATCAGTACACCGAAGAAATACATACATATTGTTGCGGACGACTATTGTAGACTGTGTTCGTGTAGTCTTCGAGTTTGTGGACAGTTAAAGTCGTGTGTGAATTTATTCAAGCCAGGAAAAGCAGGAGGGATAACTTATGGAAATCGTCTTTCCAATTTGATCCAGTGCGACGTTGTGAAAGGAGCGACTCTGTCGTCTCATCTATGTCTAGTTTGTAAGAGAAAGATTGATAGCGCAGAAAAATCCGCCAATAATGTAAAACAGTGGCGTAAAATTGTCAGTCATTCTAATATCTCCCAACCTGTGAACGAAAGGGTTAAGCGTGCTGCCTTGAAATCGCCTGCCCGACCACGTTCAAGTTCAAAACGACGTTCCATAACTTTCTCACATTCAATTTGCAATGATGACCGCAGTTCAAATGTTCTTAGCGCCAATTTCCTTAGAAATCATTTTGATTTGATTTATGGATGGCGAGCACCGACACTCCGATCCGATGAACTAATCAAAACTAAAATGGCGCGTGTCACGTGACTTTGTTTACTAAAGATAGCGTGGGCGTTTGATTGACACTCAACTCATTAGTATTCCACCAATCACAGCTACATCTACTTTCTGGATGTGCGCAGTCAAATTGTATAGGAGACAAGCTGGAGTCTCGTGTGGCGATAGCGATAACACCGGGACGAATGGTCTGGGGTAATGTCATAGATATACAGATATATTGGTTTGACTATCCTATTCAAAATGGCCGATTATCAAGCATTTCTGGCATTTAAAGATGGATTTTGTTCAAACTTGGTACATACATTAGAAATGGGTTCCTGATGCACGTCAGTTTATTTTTAAAATGGCCGTAGTGGTGGCCATTTTGTATTAATAAATGCAGCTCTAGTGCCATATTTCTGACATGCTTTGACTGATTATGTTCAAATTTTATATATTCATTATACATGTATTCAAAATGGCTGATTTTGTTAATTAATGCTGTTCCAGAGCAATATCTCTCAATACTCGTTTGACGATCAGATACAATTATCAATCTTTTTAATGTTAAACAATCATCTTAATCATATTCCTGACATATTTATGTTCCAGCTATATTACTATAAACAAAACTATATATCTTAAATTCGATAACTAATGGGGATTGTCCCATGCATGGCTTGTTAATTTTGGGGTAATTAATGTCACCGGCGATTGAGAGATAAAAATCGGAGTGCAGCAAGTCAGGGTAGATCTTCCCGACGTACATGTACACCATGACTTGTTTTGTCACATTGTTGCAGTTGTGTGCAATGGGCAAATTATTGCTACTCTAGTTTTTTTTTGGATTTGGAAGTTCTGCATCACGGCCGTGTGTCCAAGCCTTATGGTATCGTTTTGACTCTTACAAACCGCGAGGGGTCTCGCCTTGGCGAACAAGAGATTGCATCCAGTGTAGAACCGCTAAACCTGTGGCCACATATTCCTGTAGCACTTAGATTGAGCCGGTGTATTCTGACTTGGAAGCAGCGGGTAACCGTCCCCTTGACACTCTGCTGCTACATGTATCTCTGCCTCTCATGTTGACACTCGCTGCCTCCTTTTGGGGACGCTGCCGGGGTATCCCATCAAGTGGAGGCAATCCGACAAAGGGCACAATGCACAGGGTAGAAGACCCGATGGCAAGTCCAGGCTTCTATACTCACACATGTTTGTAGTTCCTAAAGCTGCAGGTGGCCGACGTCTAGTTCTGGATCTAAGCAAACTAAATCAGTATGTGCTCCTCAATCGGTTCCACATGGAGACACCAAACACTGTTTTACTCTTAGTGCACCGGTTCAATTGGTTAGCCTTGTTAGACTTGAGCGATGCTTACCTGCACATACCTATGCACCCAGCGAGTCACTGACTCCTTCGATTCGCCCATCTAGGCCAAGTATTCAAATTACCTTTCGGGTTATGCATGGCTCCATATGTGTTCACCAGAGTGTTGAAACAGGTGGTGCTGGTGCTGCATCAGTCATTGGTACACATCAACTCGTACCTAGACGACTGGTTGCTACATAACCAAAACAAGGGGTTCTGCTTTGTTGACACCACGATACCTTGTTTCCAAAGTGTGTTCCACACCACACGGCTATTTATGGTCAAATAAATACATGACAATAGCAAAATAATTTACTACCTATGAAAATAGGTGCATACATGTACCAGGCATATAATAATATGTTCAAATAAATAACAGTTAAAGGGCCATCTCATCAACCACTTGCTCGGGTTGTGACTGTTGACACAATGCCAAGACTTGTTAGTCCTCGTTCTGACGCAGTCCGAAAACAGGAACTTATGTTTTGACCTCCGTGTGTTCGTTCGTGCGTGCGTGCGTGTGTGTGTGTGTCCGTGCGTGCGTGCTTCCGTGCGTGCGTCCGGACCTGTATCTTAGAAATGCCTGGACCAATCACAATCAAACTTCACACATACATCATACATGATATTATACATATGCACGTCAATTTGTTTCACGATCTGATTCAAGATGGCCGAATGGCGGCCATTTTTTTGCTAAAAATCATCAAAATCAAGCATTTCTTGGCTGTTTACAGATGGATTTTGTTCAAACTTGGTATATACATTAGACATTATAGAACCTTGAAGCACATCATTTTGTTTTACGATCTGATTTAAGATGGCCGAATGGCGGCCATTATTCTGCTAAAAAAATCCTAAAAACCAACCATTTCTCAGCTGTTTACAGATGAATTTTGTTCAAACTTGGTATATACATTAGACATTATGGGACCTTGATGCAAATAATTTTGTTTTTCAGATAAGATTCAAAATGGCCGACTGGCGGCCATTTTGTTTTAATGAATGTGGTTCTCGTGCCATATCTCTGACTTGCTTTCACTGATTATGTTCAAATTTTAAATATTCATTATACATCATGTCATAGATAGACAGATATATTGGTTTGACGATCCTATTCAAAATGGCCAAATGGTGGTCATTTTTGTGCTAAAAAATCATCAAATATCAAGCATTTCTGGCATTTATGGATGGATTTCGTTCAAACTTGGTACATACATTAGACATTACGAGTTTCTGATGCACGTCATTTTATTTTTCAGATTGGATTCAAAATGGCTGATTATATTCAAATTTTATATATTCGTTATACATCATGTTATATATATGCATGTATTCAAAATGGCTGATTTTGAATGCTGTTCCAGAGCAATATCTCTCAATATGGACAAGTACTTGTTTGATGATCAGATACAAATGTTAATGTTAAAAAATTATATTCCTGACATGGTTATATTCCAGCTCAATTACTATAAACAAAACTATATATCTTAAATTTGATAACTAACGGGGACTGTGCCATGCATGGCTTGTTATTTAACAACCAGGGTAGCTTGTTTTGACCATGTCAATGCAGAAACCATTAAAATTACAGTTTTGGCTGTGATTCAATTCACAGTGAACTTTACCATGGTTGACCCAAACTCTCTAAACAACCTCTAGCAAAGTGACTGCCTACACATACATTTTTGTATGTGTACAGTTTAAATATGTGTATCGCCAAATCATATATCAGTATATTATGTATACAACTGTATGAAATAAGATAAACATTTGCGACCACTCGTCACTATAAAATAAATACTGAAAGGTGACACACTCTATTCACATTGACACTTGGGTTGGATACCAGCAATGCAATGCGAAATAGAGAGACATGATAATTCAAGATAACACCTTTTATAACCATTGTAATATATTATCATTATTATTTCAGCATCAGTATGAAACTGCCTTGTTCTGGGCAGATAAAGTGGCTTCTTTGTCAAATGGTAAGCATTCTAATACATCGTTGATTTATATGTGTATGTCATTCGTTGATATTACAGAAATTGGTTTGTATCTAACATCCTGAATGAGACACTGAATGTTTATAATGAATTCAGTTCATGTTGCAAAGGGTTTGTTTCTCAATAGGTGAAGTGGAAGATTTGTATTGGAAAGCACAGTGTTTGTATTTAACGGGGCAGTATCATCGAGCAGCACAGACCATAAGAAGTAAAAAACTAGACAAGGTAGTACCGTCTCATCTTGCATTAAAACCTGTCTGTAATAATCAGACGTTGGCATTGTAAAAATACAGATGGTGTTCTGTTTTTTTTTTGTATAGCATCTATGAATAATAAATTGTGGGAAGTGATGGAATAATAAGTGAAATGAATTCTATATTGCATGATTGTACAGTAAAACCTGTCAAAATGACCCCTGGATAAACTGACCTACTGTTAGAACCGACCGAAAATTTCTCCATAGACGCCAATGTTAAAACAACCTGTGAAATCCGACCACTGTCTACTCTGAACAACGATCGCATTGATCAGTCTCAAGTCCAATATTCACACTGAATACATTGACCAGACCCGCAAACACAGTGTTGCGTTGATGAATACCTCCACTTTGATGAACGTATACAAATTGAAGCAACTTATGATGGCGAGTCGAAGCAACAGATTGTTGAGAATTTTATTGCAGACCAAGATAACAATGAATCCACAGACAACGATGACATAAATTGCGACGACAGTCAATTAATCGACCTCCACGATGGCAATGACTTGACGCATGGCGATGTGCTAGACATATTTACGAGATTATAGTACTTAGCAATAAACAAAGACTCCGGTTACTTGACAGCTATCCAAGATCGGAAAACAAAATCATGGAAAAAGGATGTTCTTTAAAGCAGTCAACACTCGACAATTTTATTTTTGACATCGTAATTTGATTCATTGACTTAACAGCAACTGTCTGCATAAATGTCTGCTCCCCACTAGAGCCAAGTGTTAATGGCCGATAAAAGAAACAAAGACATGTACACAATGCAGCAAAGATTGTTTTTACCTTGCCCGTACCATCAAAGATGGAAGGGAAAGGTATATTAAGGGAAAAATTTTGTCCGGCGTTGTCGTCGTCGTCGTCGTTGTCGTTAATAATTGTTATTGTGTGCATAATAACTTTACTAATTCTATTCCAAACTTTATCAAACTTGGTCACCTTATTCATCAGTATAAAGTCTTCCCTGAGTTTGAACAACAGATGTCCTGTATGAAAATATCATGCAAAAATTGAGAAAATCTGATAAAATATTTTGACTGTTTCTACTTGA